ATTTTATTAGTATATAGATTATAATTGAAAATTTTACTTGAATTTTGGACTGGAGGGAGTAAATTATAAAAACAATATGATATTTAACAATACCAATCAATTCAGACTCTAATTATCTTATGTTAAAGTTTTGTTTGAAAGGGGAGAAAAATGATTAAAAAAATAAAATGAGAGGATGTCAAGAAAAAAGAAGGGAAAATATTTTATCTGGTTTTATTTCAATAATATCCATATAGAAAAAAAAATGTTTTCCTGTTTTTATCGTTACAGGACTGTGTTTCAAGAGGACGATATGGAATGATTCTGTTACAATAATTGGATGAGGAAGTCATCATCAGTTTCCGTGGCCTGAAATTTAAAAGTCAAATAATAATGAAAAGCCAACAGCATGGTGGCTTTAAGACCACATGTAGAACAATCTTATTTTTGGAGTCATTATACATAGACCCTTAAGAATATCAATAGTCATTTTGACTCATTTTACAAGCAGTCAACAATTAGTGGATCCACGCAACTGATCATTATGCGTCTTGGAAAAGTCGTAAGTTTTAACTCATTCAAGCATTATTTATTTGAATTCAATCTTGTTTTGTTTGCGCACTTTTTGTTTGCATTGGGAAAAATATTTTTTTTTCTCTGCATGATTATCAAGGTTGTCTAATTGATGGCGTTATACACATAAAATACTATGTTTTTTAAAATGAAATGTGTCGAACTCATTTTACAAAATTTGAAAGGTCAGTTTCATTATAATTATAATTATAATAGTATAGTATTGTTCTACTTTAATGTTTTTATTGATATTGCTCACTACTAATTTAAAAACTTACGTCAATTTTCCTAGTTTGAACATGGTTTGTTCACACCTTATGATAGGTTGGGTCAGTGAGAATTTTAAAATAAATATTTATGATTTTCAATAACGCGCGATTGACTTTTACAATTTGTGAATGTAAAATGCAGCTCTAAAAATACCATTACTGAAATAGTGGAGCAGAACTAAAAAAAAAATACTAAAGATAATTTACATGGTAATAGATATAACAAAGTTTATTTTGGCTATCGAATGCCTTACATAACCCTTCTCGAGTAAGATTAGAACCAAGTTATAAAAATATAGGCGGAATTCATAATTTTTTTAATGAAATTATTCTATTCATAAACCATGAATAATTCAGCTCCTTATATATTGTGTAAAACACATGCCAATAATTGTTGTGCAGAGTCTAAAAAATATGACTGAACGATACCTTTAGATAAGCAAATGAACAAAAGGACACACCCAAATTCACAAATCAATTCTACCACGAACTGATCTCCAAGTTGAAGTTTTCATCAATATGAAATGTCTCAAGTTGCACATAGATTCAATCAAAGAAGCTTGATTCAATCGGCTAAGGAAATTGAATTATTATTTTTTTAAATTTTGAGTTCAAGTCTAAAGATATGCAATCATATTAAATATAAAAATGTCAAATTCAATCTCAAGATACTAATGAAGCTACTGATGATAATAGTAACATCATGTAAAGTGTTTGGATTATTTAGATTGATAATGATATTGGTAATAGCTCAGTGCAAATTCAACACATCTCTTGCTTGTTACTCACTCTAACTTATAGCTAATTTGACAATCTTAAACAAGTTATTAGTCTTTTTGAAACATCAAATATGAGTTACCTTTCATCAATAGACAATTCCTCATACGTGAGTTTGATCTTGAATTTTAGATGCGAAGTGTTTGTTGACTAAAATATAAATAATCATGGTATTATTATTTGGGAGAATAACAAATAAATTTCTTCAAAATAGAGAAATAACAATTCAATCCAGCTAAATGTGATAATACCTTCTAAATCTCAAGGGATTTAATTTTTATTAAATTTTTTTGATGAAATGACAAAAAGATTCTTTAATTTAAAAAAGTGAAAAAAATAGTGGGAGAAAATTATAAATGCTTAAACCACTTTAGTTATTAATAAACCAAATTTATGAATTTTAAAAAAATTGTGAATAAAAAATTTTATTTCACTTTATTGATTGAAAAAAATGGACAAAAAAAGTTATGAATATCTAAATCATTTTAGTCATTTACTATACTAAAGTTGTGAAAAAAAAAAACCTTATAACACTTTGCTAATTGAAAAAAATGATGAGAGAAACTTGCGAATGCCTAAACTATTTTAATAATTTATTACATTAAAATTATAAAAACCAGAACAGAAGTTGTAAACTAGAAAATTTGTGACACTTTGCTCATTGAAGAAAAATAATAAAAAAAGTTATAAATGTTTAAATCACTTTAATCATTTGTTAAACTAGAATTGTGAATTTCAAAAATTAAATTGTGAATGAAAAAAACTTTATTGCACTTTTCAAAATTAATAAGTTTTTGTCATTTCATCAAAATTTCAATGACAATTAAATTTTGAAACTTCAAAAAATATTATCATATTTTATGAGATCAAATAGTCATTTCTATTTCAGGGGATTAATTTGTCATTCTCCTTGTTCTCTTTCTAGTTTTTAATATTCCGAAAAATTTAATTATACTGCCTGATTATAGGCTTGTCGCTGAGTAGGCCATAGAATAGAATATCTCTCTCACGATGGTGTAAATGATGCACTTGGAGCCACAATCATTTGCCGCACATTAATGACTAAAAGCTTAAAATAATCTCATGCCAAAACCACGAATAAAATATCTAATATTGTATTGCTGCCTTTATAATCTCGATTAAGATAAACAATTAAGATAAATTCCATGACATAATTATGCCGTCTTTTATTTCACTTTCACACTAACCATTGGGCCCTGGCCCAGTCTTCAGTCCAGCCCCTCACAAATGGGCTCTTTAACCTTTAAAAAGTATGCACAAATGATATAATATTTCATGCATGCGTAAAATTTCCCTGAATTTAGAGTGATTTTTAATTTCATTTATTTTCACCAATTTCATATCACAAATTTATAGAGCATTAGATGGATCCATGTACATTTTAAGAAACTTAAAAAAACATCTATGACAAAAACCCAGAAAATCCGGAAGCAATTAGTAGTGCTGATCATATCAATGTTGATTATTCAAGTTTTCTGAATTCACTATAACATGGTCAAAATGGTTAACAAGATCACTTGACTAATTTGAATATCTATTCATTGAAATGTATAAATATGAATATTACTTACCCCGACAATATGAATACCTGTCATAATACATCCCCTGGCTGAACACAAAACAGCATAATTTTGTAGTTCTTGACTTGGGACCTTCAGTTTTTTTTTTTTTTGCCCCAACAATATTAAGTGAAATATCATGTCAAATTCTATCCTAATAGTATAATATTTATGTTGGAATTGTCTAGCCTTCACACGATCATTAAATCAGCTAATTTAATTTATCAACCATATACGTGACCACAACATATTAAGAAGATATAAATAAATAAATAAATAAATACTTTCGGGTTCAAAGTGAGTAGTAAATCCGAATCCGGCATGGCAATGCGGATGGCAGCAATGTCATGATGACGTGAAACCTGACGCAATCCAAGCATGAGGGCAATGTCAGCAACCATTATGTTACACGTGGCACAAACGCGTCCATCCACGTGTCAAGATTGCAGGGGCTAAACAGATATATTTTACGAACCGATGTCACTTGACAATCAAACCCCGGAGGACATTAGCCCACTAAACAAAGAAAGCACTAAATTGAGCCAACCTATTTTGATTATGGGCGGGGCCCACACCCGAATTCGGTCACCCACGCTCATCAGTGGGAGCACTAACCTCAATGATATCGTACATCCCCCACCCAATGGCTACCAAAATGACTTCTCTCTATATCTATACACAGACAATTAATGGAATTAAATTTCATAAGTTTTGGGCCAACAATTGCAGAAGATTTGACTGAGTATTGTGTCGTGTTACCAATGTAATGAATAAATAATAGTAATTTATTATGTTTTTTTTATAATTTTACTTATAAATTAGTTTTCAGTATATTTTTATGAAATCAAAAAAAATTTTAAATTTTATTAACTCTATTTTAAAATTTAATAAATTTTTATATCTACCATAGAGATAAAAATAAGAGTAAAAAGATAAAAATATGTATAAAAAATAGATCAAAATTAATTTTCTCTTTCTATCCTATAAATATGATTAGAGAGCAGTATCATACTTTTAAATACTATTATATTGATTTTTGTAATGCTACTATATATAATTATTTTTATAACCACGAAAAGATTTCAATTGTCCCGTGGCATCTAAATCAAAACACTATAGTAGATTTTATGGTTTTTTCCCCCTCTTTATTACTTGTATCCTTTGTCAATATTCCTTTGTCCTAATTATAGGACTAATTTAACTAACTTCATGGTTCTTAATGAAATCATAATTAATACCCTTAAATTTATAAAAAATAATTGATATTTTAATTTTTATTTTATAAAAATTATTGACCAGAATAAAGTATGTTTAGGAATTATAACTTGGTGCAATTAATGAGGGTAATATTAAAAAAATTAACTATACCATCTTTGTCTTATATTTAGTACTCCTATTAGATAAGATTTTAAAACATTGCCATATAATTAAGAGCTGAGAAGTATATACTTTTACTCGTATTTTCTTGTTACATTTTTACATCATAATATATCTCTTTGTTCCTATTTATAAATTACTCCTAAGATGTTTTATAGAAATAAAAAAAATCTTAAAACACCTTGATTTTGCTTAAAAATTTAATAACTTTTTAATTTCACTCATATTGATTATAGATTAATAACATACTTTCTTTCATCAATATTAACAAAAATAAAAAAAATCATCATAAAAAATTAATGACATAATTTATAAATAAAATAAAAAAAATATTTTTTTACTCTAGTCTAAGTAGAATTGGATGGGGCCACACATTGACATTGCATAACCCCCTTAAAGCCGTTACTTGTGCAAGCCTGGACCAACATCCTCATTCTCAGTGCGTAACTTTTTTCCTCACAAAAAACTCAGGTGAAAAGACTGGAAACGGTTGGTGGAGAGAAAAACAAGCTTAAAATCCGTTTGTACCCATATTGTGATCAGTAGCCCCACTACAAGCTGACCATATTTGTATTTGTATAAGCAGGCAACATGAGAGATCAAACAATCCTTTTTGGGAGTGGGAGGAAGGTGGGTCTTCTTGCAAAGTTTCAGTAATCATGCCCACCTTTCCCTTCTCTTTCCCGCACCAATTCTCACCGGAACTTACTATTTCTCTGCAAATCCACCTCCCAAACACTTCACTCGGTGCTTCTATTCCATTGCATTACCACTCATGAATCTCTTTCCATTCATTTTCCTTTCCTTTCTGATCCATTATGGCTCTTCTGAGTCTATCATTCACATTGGTTACCAGCTTCTGTTGGCAGTTCCGGCAGAATATCATATGGGTTTCACCGGGAAAGCATATGTTTTACAGACGAATCAAACTTCACCAAATTTCAGGTTAGCTTTAGCTGTTGAAGCCATTGATGGGAAATATTCGTGCTCATTACAAATTTTTCTCGGGGATGTGAAGGTGTGGGATTCTGGCCATTACTCAAGGTTTTATACGACTGAGAAATGCTTGCTAGAGCTTACCCAAGATGGAGATTTGAGGTTGAAAGGTCCAAAAGAACAAGTGGGTTGGAGGGCTGGGACTTCTGGGCAAGGTGTGGAGGTAAAAACAAAAAAAACAAAACAAAAAAAAACAAAGAAACACTAAAATCTAGCTAATGCTAAGCCTTTATGTTGCGTTTTGTGAAGATGCATAAAGTCTAATACATTGTTTTTGTTTGCTGCTTTGCCTCAATTTGAAGCAGAGATTACAAATACTGAGGACGGGAAATCTGGTGCTTATGGATTCACTCAACAATATAAAGTGGCAGAGTTTCAATTTTCCAACGGACGTAATGCTTTGGGGGCAGAGACTTAATGTGGCAACACGCTTGACAACTTCACAAAGCAACTCAAGCTTTGTCTACTCTTTTGAAATTGAAAACAAAAAGGTTGCTCTGTGCTTGAATACTGATAAGTTGAAGTATTCTTACTGGGAATTCAAGCCTTCCATGAACAGGAATATCACTTACGTTAAGCTGGGTTCAAAGGGGTTGGATTTATTTGATGTCAAATACAAGAAAATAGCACGAATTCCATCTCCGAGGTCTCACCCAATAAGATTTTTGGCATTGAATAATGAAACAGGAAATTTGGGGCTTTATTACTATTCAGCTGAGAAGGCTAAGTTTGCAGCCTTTTTCCACGCACTAAACAGCACATGTGATCTTCCTATTGCATGTGGTCCTTATGGAATATGTACATTCTCTAATGCCTGCTCGTGTATTCAGCTTTCGACAAAGGAAAGTGGAGGAAGTTCTGAATGTACTGCGGAAATTTCTGGTGGATTCTGTAGTGGGAAACAGGCAGAGATGCTTGAACTAGAGAATGTGGGTAGCGTGCTCAAAGATGACAGTACTAGAATGGTAAATATTAGCAGAGAAGCATGTAAAAATCTGTGCTTACAAGACTGTAAATGTGCTTCTGCTTTATATTTCAGGCAAAAAAGCAACGGTGTGCAAGAATGCTATCTTTACAGACTAGTCCTGGGACTGAAGCAGGTAGATAAAGGTACAGGATTTAGTTATATGGTTAAGGTTCCCAAGGGAACAGTTGAGAATAATAGTCAGCATAATTTGAAAAAATGGGTATTCATACTTGTTGGAGCTATTGATGGACTTATCATTCTAGTTGTTGTTGGAGGAGTTGGGTACTGGGTGGTCCAAAAGAGAAGTCCTAGGTCGCATTCTGAGGCCGCCACTTCATGAGCACATGAAATTCCAGGTTTCATTTCTGAGTTTATCTGTGAAAAAAGAGGATAGAAAAATCATTTAATATACTAGTAAACACAATTTTGGTTGATTCCCACAAACTGACATTCATAGATCATCCAACTAACTGAAAACCATTGATGAAGAACAAATGTAGAGTATTTCTGAATACTCTTGTTTGATTTATAAGTTATGACAATAGGCAACGCAAATGTAAGTTTTCCTGCTTTTGTTTTGCTTTATATTTTTTGCTCCCTTTGAGAATCCTATCAATTCTGCATAAGTACTTCCTAATCCTTTTACAGTGCTAAGGGCAATCATTTAACTTATACTTCCTCTGTATTATAAAAGCATGTAGCCAAGTTTCTCTAACATGGAATGCTTTGGCTAGCATGTGGGTTTTGTTGCATCTGCGTCCATCCTTAACATTCCATTTATCGTGGAAGTATGGACTTAATATGTTGAGGTTTCTTCGTCAGTCTTAGAAGGTCAACTCAATAGCTTTTACAGTTGCTGTCCCCAAAATTGTGCCTAACTTATGTAAGTTTACCTCGAACTCAAAACATAGTTCACCAGCAGGTTCAATTAACTTTAAGAAACTGTTAGAATGAAATTAGAACTTTGTCAATTGACAGCAAGCATTTGTAGGAGCTAATATGGTTTACCCTAAGTAGCACTTTTATAGCATTTACTCCCGCTGCATATCATTGTGTCAGAGGTGGAAACATCATTTATCTGACACCGACCGCTGCAAGCATTTCAGCTTCAAACAAAAAAATAATTCTTACGAAAAACTTGTACATCTTTAGTACAGTATGAGTGAACTTTACAAAGGTGTCTACAGACAGAACCAGGCAAGAATTACAAAGGTGTCAACACAATGGTTTAAATGAGAATACATAGAATAAATGTATGACAAGCTTTTACTTCCATGCATGACATGCTACTGTGGTGTAGGACAGCATTTACAGAACCATTTAGCATGTTACACATCCATTTTAGTTCAGATTAGCAGGCAGATCAAAATTGTCTTACTCTAAAAATAAATGAAAATAATAGTTCTTATACTAGCATCTTGAGAAAGTTTAAGAGCGTGACAAACACCTTCAGTTACGGAAATAAGCTTGCTTATCTTCTCATTTAAACCAACTAAACATACTTCTGAGATACACCACAAACTGTATCCCGAGGTCATTGTTATTGTAATGCCCGCTCTGGATGTTCACAACTTCACATTCAACCAAAGAAAAAGGGTTGTCAGCTCTGACACGTTTGGAAGGGAAGAACCAAGCATGCTGAAGAACTGGGGCAATAAAGCTATGAATTACAATTGATATTATTTTAGGTGTCGTAGAAAATTTATATTCTGATTGAACTATTGTATCTTGATAATATATTCACGAAGTTGTCATTAAATTGAAGAATGTAACACTTCATCAAATGTGACTTTATTGACTTTTGTTTCCAAAGATGGGCATATTCCATCGTCATAATATCTGTAAGGCTGAATGTATGAGTAATTGGGTATGATCCTTAAAATACACCTTAAAATGCACAACTTTAATATAACAATTGACTGGCATTGAGAGCAACAAATCGTATAAATAGTCATCAATAAGAGCAGAGATAGTTTATATCCAGTGTAACTGGGTCCATTCCCATATATATCCACACATGTGCATACATTAACACGTACATCTTTTTAAAAGGTGTGCAAATTGTATGACTAGATAAAGACAAAGATAAAAAGCATGAAACAAAAGCTTTGAGCTGAGGAATGTCAAATACTTCGATTAACCATTACATTTGTAATTCACATACAAATGGGCATCCTAAATGCCTAATCTTAAGGGGGAAAATGAAATTCTCATTTGATGAGACTAGGCATTTAAAAAAAAAAAAAGATGATACAAACAAAGGCTGCAAGAAGCAAGGACAGTAGAGGTCATCATCACGTTAATTACAGCAATTTTGACACACAGGCATGAAATTCAGAACTAATATGCGTATTAATTTAAAGACCACATACTCAGCTTGAGTTAAGTTTGCTTTTATTTATCCAAATCCTGCTTGATGAAGTTGTTATTTCTTGAGAGTAAACAACTGCCTATTCATTAATTCCTAATAAAGCAGGGGACACTTTGAAACAATAAGATGCTAGTTTTGCAACTCTGAATTTGTAGAACATAGGAACTTGCAGTGCTAATAGCTCTTTTCTTCTTTTCTTTTCTTTTCTTTCTTTTTCTTTTTTAATTTCGATTGAATAAGGTTATAAATCAAACCCTCAAACATTGTGAAGGATTGGAAAACAAAATGAGATACAGACTAAAGATGTTTGCATAATATCGCTCTGAGGCCTCAAAATGTTGCCTTCCAGTGCATGTAATCATGACTCATGAGATGCAAGACACCGAATATCAGCAATTCTATACATTTGCTACACAGTTCTTTACTAAAAATTTGACATTTTTTGTTTCCTTTCACATTTCAGCACTGCATGATTGGGTCCTTCAAAAGATTCCATTCACATGTGAGGCTATATTTTGTGTGTATGTGTGTGTCAATAACTCAGTTCTTCTGCTGTCAAAAGTTATTATGTTGTGTTTGACAGAGGAATGACCCAGAAGTTTGACTCTGTAATGAAGCTGTAGATGATGACGGACAAAAGATAATTCAAACAAAATGGAAAAGCACCAATAATTCATCAAGAGAAAATTTGTTATCATGCAATGCAATCATATATATGGGATGATTGACACTAATAGCATCAGATCAGAAGCTGAATCCATGGGAATTTTTGAAGGCAACATGAGCATCATGAGTTTTTTTCTCAGTCGGTCATAACACGTGAACGCGGAAGAAAAGCCCCAAATTAATCTTTCACTGGTTGAAACTTGAAACCAATTAGAACATTTCGATAATAATTGGTCCCACGATATGATAAATGATCCCAATGGAATTTTCAATAGAGGAGCTTAACTTATTGAGAATCAGAATCCTGTATAATTGGTTTGAAGCGAAACAAGCACATAAAAAGATATATAAAGCATAGTTTCACCTTCTGATATAGTTGCAGAATGGACAGATTATAATAATGAAGACGACGACGATCAGCTCATTAAGGGCGAAAAAAGGAATTTGCTAGAGAGACACTAAATTGAAAACGAAGGATTAATGTAACACTGAATAAGCACAATTAATTCAGGTGATAGCTGTGAGATATGAACTGATATTATTGGAACGGCGAATCTCAACGACTGAACTTGAACCTTAGTTGTTGTTGGGGAGTTTTTGTGAGATGGAATAAGATTGTAAAAAATCTTAGAACTTATTTGAAAGGGAGTAAAATGTTTTGAAGTGGCCTTCTAAATCATCCACTATCATTTTCAATTCATTTTTACTTTCAATTGGGCAGTCAGATTAAAATGATATAATATAAATAATATTATTATAAATTTATCATATATTTTTTATTTTCTCTCACTTTTTTAATGTGAAATTAAAATATAATTATATATAATTCAAGTTTATTAATTTTATAACTATTTTTAAATAATAATTAAATAAATTTATTTATTTTTATTTATTTTTTAATAAAAATTTTAATAATTAAATTCTGTTTACTTTTTTTCATTTCATTCTATTTCATTACATTAATTATCATTTCTTTTTCATCTAAAAAGGATGGAATACAATAAAGTTAATTGGGGACAGAAAGTTCACCAATGATTTTTGAACATGTCAGTCTAGTTGAGTTTAGTGGGTCAAACCCATTTTCATGACATTGTGCCATAATAATTTGTTTAATTTAATTTTTTTTGCAATATTTGTTTAATTTGTTGATTTGCTAAGCAAGCGTAGTATAATTAATTTAATAAATTTAAATTTAACATATAAGTTACAATGTACAAGGTCCAAATAGCAACTCTTCATAGGATAATTAAAAACATAACAAAGCACATGTCAGAAAATTTGATAATTTAAATTTAAATGATAATTATCGTGTAAAGATATCAATGAAGCATCAATTAAGATAAAATTAGGAAACATAAATACATAATATAGATGAATTTTAATTCTCCAGGAACATTAAACTTACACCACGGAATTTTCCCATAAACTTCAACAATTGTGTTTTTCAAAAACATTACTCTCTTTATTTAAAAATGTAAAGTATTTTTAATCGAATCTCATCTCTTAATAAAGTAGTTACCTATTTTCAAACTAATCCTATCTTTCTATATTTATTTCTATTAAACACTCTATAATAAATATAAAGTCATTTTTAATAGGATACTTTTAAAAAAAGGTAATGATTATATCTTAAAAGACTTAAAATACATTATATTTTTATATATCTAATACCTTAAAAAATATTTTATATTTTTAAATGGAGGAAATAATTGATTTAATATTTTGAAGAGGAAGAGGGAAGGAGAGAAAGAGAAACATGATGTTCTAACTTTAATGGACACAGTAGCTTACTAGCTTTTATGAGCTTAATCCATCAAAACTCGGGCTCATAAGTCCCATTTTTTATTTAAAAATCTATTAAAGCCCAGTTCTTAAAAAACATAAGGAAATTTACATGCAAATCTCACACGAAAAAAAAGTAATTTATTATAAATTACTTTATGTGGTTGTTAACAAACTTGACAATAATTAATTTTTTATGTGAAACTTCACCATAATTCTCCTACAAAATATAAGATAAGTAAGTGTTAAATATTGTTACTTAATATGAGATTATTGGGATGATTCAAAAATGAAAATCTATATTATTATGGCATCAAATTTCATATCTAATTAAAAATAATAAAATAAATGGGATATAGTCATATTATAAAATCAAATCAAGCAAACAATCTATTATTTATTATATTTTATATTATGATCGATTTATTATATTTATCAATGATATACAATTATATATCAATGATAAATTCTTTATAAATTTTTAAATTTTTAACATAAATTCTTTGTGTATTAATAATAAATATCTTATATATTAATGTAAAAATTAAATAAAATTTTTTTACATTATTTCCTCGATACAAATTTTTTTTCAACTGGTGAGCCAATTTATTCAAAAATAAAAATGAAATAACTTAAAAAATTATTACACATGAAAAATATCTATAATTTAATAATAAAATAATAATAAATATTATATATTTCAATTTCTTGATACATATCTCTGATCTCTAAGGCTAATGCTCACTCCCAAACGTGAAACTAGTCAAGTCTAAAATATATAGGCTTTTTATTGTGAAAGGGACTACAAAAGTGCAGTAAGCCCAAAGAAAACTCAGTTGAAGAATCGCTTTCATCTCCAAACTTTCATGGGCTTCATGATTTAATTATTCCTCGTTTCACACTCCAATGTGACAAGTAATTTAAACTGCTAGCTCAGATCACCCCCTCTTAATTGTTTCTTTCATATAAAGGAAATTAACAAATACCAAATAAATTGAAAGGCTTTTCGAGAAGATACATGTTGGAGGGTATATAATTAATGCAGTCAATTAAGTTCTTTCAAAATATCTATGAGCGTGTATTCTCAAGATAATCTCGTAAGAGTTTGTCCTCACGAGCTGATTAGCAAGCTCGTGATTTCATAGTACTAAGATTACGATTTCAAGCAAGTTCCACACAAGTCTTCAGGTTTGATTATAATATTGCAAACCAAGTTAATCGCAAATTTAAATAATATAACACGGAATAATTAATACAAGTGCCGTTGAAACAAAGTTATATATATTAAGTAACCAGTCCATAGAATTTTAAATAGATAGTCACTGTCATCTAATTAAGACTGATCAATGAAATAGATAATTAGTTTTATTTCAAAACAATTATCTTACCATGAAGAATATTTTTTTTATAAATTAAACATGCATATCGGATATCATCACGAACAAATATTTAAAATTTGGTGAGAAGCATTAATTATTATTATCTGTCTCACGTCTCCTATGAGCATCAGAAGAAGCCAGTTGTTTGCATCAGTAGGTGCTGCTGGCAAAGTCCGACATGTGAGGAAAAGAGACAAAGCGTGGTGTTTGTACTATGTGGTAATGGAATTTTTATTTCCCATATATGCACGAGATCACTGGAAAGCTCTTGTTGTTTGCGTTTGGTAACTACAAACTCTAGCCCGTGAACCTCAATGTCACACTACTACTAAATCATCACTGATTCTCTCACAACTCTCATGTCATGTGTCAACCAAACAGAAATAGCTAGAGGGAGGGGTTGGCATGTCCCTTTTGGATTCTAGTGACTTAAAATCACCTGTCATTGGCTTAATATATATTTGGATTTGACCCCACCCCTACGCAACATGTCGTGCTCAATTATAGAATAATATCGCTTGCCCTAAACTTTAAGTTACTTGTACTGTTATTCCATATTTCAGTTTACACACTCCTATATAATTGACACAACCAATTGTCATTTGTTCCTACTCTCAATTTATCTAGTTTAAACCCGTATATACGCGAGAAGGCATTTACAAGGCTACGTTTTACATGAGTTATGT